CTCGGGACAGTAACTTCAGGATAATAACAGCCACTAGCCCTTAGTAAGCACTATGCGCTCGGGACAGTAACTTCAGGATAATAACAGCCACTAGCGCTTAGTAAGCACTAGGCGCTCATCATGGTGCAAGGGATTGCAGTGCCTTATCCCATTCCATTTAATCCTCACCACCCCATGGGGCAGGTTCCACTGCTATCCTCAGTTACAGGTGAGGACGCAGATTCACAGGGGCTAACTACTTTGTCCAAAGGCACGTAGCTAGAGAGGGCCAAGTCAGCACACAAACCCATGTTGTTTGACTTCATGGTCTAAGGTCTGCAACTGAGTAAGTCACAAAAAGCTGGGATATACCCATCACGTGATGAGTGGGAAAGAGGAAAAGAGAGCAGCGAATGTGAGAAGAGAGGGAGGACAGGCGGAAACTAACCAGATGGAAAGAGTACTGTGTGAAAAGGAAGAGCCCTGGATTAAGCATCAGGAGGGCTGGGACCCTGCCCCGGGAGGCACCAGTGTGACCGAGGGGAAACGAATATGCACCCGAGGTGATTTAGACAACCAAACCAACAAGACAGTTATTAACTGCAGGGATGGGAGCACGGGACTGTGCAAGGAAGGAAAAGTGGCCGTCGAGTAGGTAGGATTTGTCCACAAATCCTTTGATGCTACACTCACGGTGTCTCTCTCCCCTCCCCTGAAGCTCAGCCAACCTTAGTGACTCATTCAGAACCGACAGAATGCGGCAGGAACGATGCTGAGTAACGTCACATGTGAAGTCAGTTTCTGCCGAGCTCTCTCGAACCCGTTTTACTAGAGAGTTTGGCATTGGGTTTTCAGGCAAAGCACAGCTTTTCCATTTTCCATTTGCTAATCACAGATTTTCCACTTACTATTGTCCCCTGTCAATATATCATCCTTAGGGACTTCAAGGCATGACTGTAGGCGAAGCTGAATTTAGCCGTTCCTGTATCTTCCAGCCATAATACCACTAAACTACACCATTAACCTTTGACATGAACTAGCCAAAACAACAGTATCAATACCAGTCAATGCAATCCAGAAAGGTAGGATCTTTAAATATTTAAAGATAGGGAAGATTGTCAATTACTGGTTGAAAACCTCTCCCTTATTCTATTTTAGGCCCTAGAAAGTTCCACCAAATTCATTTGCTGTAAAACTCTAAGCATCTGCCTAATATTTTAGTCTCCACATTTCTAGTCCAACAAACTTCAGAAATAACATTTGGTCGAGTGGATAAATCTCTTGAAAATACTTCACCAAGAAGTCTTCTCATGTGTAAAATAAACTTTCATCTTATTAATTAAATCAGCAAATATTTACAGATAAGGTACTCTGAGGTAAAATGATATGACAGAGTCTCTGTCCTCAAGGAGATTATAATAAATGTAAGTACCTAATTAAATATAAGGCAGACTATAGTGAGTTCTATAATAAGAAAGGCACTAGAGGAGAGATTGAATGTACTTGGAGGTCCAAGAAAGAGTTATACAAAGGATTTGAATACCCTCTCTCAAATCTAAGCTTTTCACTTTCTTTTACCTTTATCTACACCAACACCCTAGACCTTGTCTTTATCTGAAATTGTTCCATCCTTCAAATCTTAAATTTTGGAACCCTCTTTCAGACTAAATTCTAGATCCCTGTTGAGGGGAAACCCTTATTGCCCACTCCCCCATGAGTCTCCACAGAGGAGAGAGGACTTTGGTTCGCTCCCTAGGGAAGGCAAGCGGTTCATCACCCTACCCCACCTTCATCTGGGAGGAAGGAAAAAGAAGCAACAATGTATCAGAAGCTCTGATTAGGCCTTCAATAATTTATCAGAAGCTCTGAATCTAGTGGTTGTTGGATCCTGTTCAGTGATAAATAAGCTGTCCCTCACCCCCTATGTTTTATTCTCAAGAACTGAGAACACGGAGGGGAAGATGGATGACTTATTATCCCTCGAACATCCAACAATATCTTTATCTTTTATAAGCCCTGGATCAATTTAGCTGTTGTTCTCTCTCCCCATCTTAAAAAAAAAAAAAATGTGAAAGGCATAGGAATTAGGTACATTACTAAACTTGATCTCCATCTTTGCTAGACACTATTTACTACCTCATAATCTTCTCCAGGTCCCCGTTCAGTGTCAACTTTCATTTTCTTTCTTTCTTTTTTTTTTTTTGTAATTTTATTTATTTATTTGACAGAGAGTACACGCAGGGGAAGGGGCAGGGAG